GTTTTATTGTTCCATACATTCATTTTTTATGCTTGTGAATACTCTGCTTACTAAATAAACAGACTTTTTCCACTTTTCTCCCAGGAAATCTTTTCTCCGAGGAAATCAGCTGGGGGAGGGCCTGCTCTTATCTGCTTTCAGGAGGGACCTGTTTGGAAGTTTCCTCTCAAATTTGCCCTAAACCAGGACAAATACATTTTTCATCGCCCAGCACATGGCTCAAGAAAGTGGAAGAAACCTGTCCTGACTGCATTTAGGTTGTACTTATTCTGTATTGGGATAAAGCAGTATCAGTACCCATGTTTCTTGAATTCATGATGTCTCTTTGGGTGGAGGCCTTCATGTGTTTCTGGTCCCTAGGCTTTTTTGAGATTTTAATACCTTTCTGGTCCCTAGGCTGTTCAGAGGTTTGAATACCTTTCTGGTCCCTAGGGTTGTTTTCTTATCCAGAGATTGCTCCAGTATTGTCCTTAACAGGTTTTTACAGTAGAGGAGCATGGATTCAGGTTGCTATTGTGCTGGGCTCAGTGATAATGATTTACAGGGAATTTACAAAGGTACTGGAGTCTGTTCCAGACACGTATGGTTTATGGTTTCTTCGTCCTACCCTGTATCCTCGTTCCAGTAGCGTTTTTGGGGGATTTAGTAGTAATTGCACTGGTTTGTTAAAGGAGGAGCAGGGGATGAGGCTTTTCAGCCTTTCCTTTCTTTCTTCCCCTTTGAATCTGTTACGACACTTTTGGAGACTGTTCAGTTTGCCCTGAATGTTAAAGGGACCCCTTTCCTGGTCTTTAATCTGGTAAGATTTCTCTGTATGGTCTGAAGTATCTAAAATGAGGGCTGAGATGTCCAGAGGAGCTGATGAGACCCCTGACCCAGGAGTAGACCCAGGCGTGGAAAATCCTGAGTGGGGTGGAGAATGGGAGGAATGGGCCAAACCCTAAAGGAATTTTCTGACCCCCAACCAACTGTGAATTTTCATGTAAACAAAATCAGAATCTAGACAAAGTGGGGAAATATCTGGAAAAGAAGCAATTATTGATTATTCTAATGATAACACTTAACAACACTTAACAGGGAGATTCCAAGTGGGCGCGGATAAGGTTCAGGCCAATGGGATTTCAGACACAGGATACTTCAGGAGAGGATTACAGGCTTGGAATAAACCATACAGTTGCCTGGGATGAGACAGAGCATACCATTTAACTAAACACCACGAAGGGGGAAGAGCAACAAGTACCAACGGCCATTTTGACAGTGCACCGCCAACAGTACAGAACAATTCTAGATGCTGTGATCCCCATTCACAAAATGATCCATGAGCTGGAGAGCCAAGGGGTGGTCAGCAAAACCCACTCACCCTTTAACAGCCCCATTTGGCCTGTGCGTAAATCTGAAGGAGAATGGAGACTGACAGTGGACTACCGTGCATTGAATGAAGTGACTCCACCACTGAGCGCTGCTGTGCCAGACATGTTAGAGCTCCAGGACAAGCTTGAGTCCAAGGCAGCAAAGTGGTACGCCACTGTTGATATTGCCAATGCATTTTTCTCCATTCCTCTGGCAGCAGAATGCAGGCCCCAGTTTGCTTTCACATGGAGGGGCGCGCAGTACACCTGGAACCGACTGCCCCAGGGGTGAAAACACAGCCCCACCATCTGCCAGGCTGCACTGGAAAAGGCTGAAGCTCCAGAACATCTGCAGTACATCGATGGCATCATTGTGTGGGGGAACACAGCAGCAGACACATTTGAGAAAGGAGAGAAAATCACCCAGATTCTCCTGGAAGCTGGTTTTGCCATCAAGAAGAGCAAAGTTAAGTGACCTGCCCGAGAGATCCAGCTCCTGGGAGTGAAGTGGCAAGATGGACGGCGTCAGATTCCTACAGATGTCATCAACAAGATCACAGCTATGTCCCCACCAACCAACAAGAAGGAAACACAACCTTTCCCAGACACCATAGGATTTTGGAGAATGCACATTCCTGAGTACAGTCAAATAGTGAACCCTCTTTACCTGGTCACCTGCAAGAAGAACACTTTCCACTGGGGCCCTGAGCAGCAAAAAGCTTTGCCCAGATCAAGCAGAAATCACTCATGCAGTACCCTTGGCCCAGTCAGGACGGGACCAGATGTGAAGAACGTGCTCTACTCTGCAGCTGGGAACCATGGTCTGTCCTGGAGCCTTTGGCAGAAGGTGCCTGGTGAGGGTCAAGGCCGACCATTAGGATTTTGGAGTTGAAGGGGCTGGAGTTGAAGTTACAGAGGGTCTGAGGCCAACTACACCCCCACAGAGAAGGAAATTTTAGCAGCCTATGAAGGAGCTCATGCTGCCTCAGAAGTAAAAAAGACTGAACAACTCCTCCTGGCACCTCAACTACCAGTGCTGGGGTGGATGTACAAAGTGAAGGTTCCCTCTACCCACCATGTCACATGGAGCAAGCCCTCATCACACAGGGCGCCTGTATTGGTAAACTGAACCACCCTGGGATTTTGGAAATAATTACAAATTGGCCTGAAGGTGGAAAATTTGGTCTCATGGATGAAGAGGAACAAGAGCAAGTGACACATGCTGAAGAAGCTCCACCATACAACCAACAGCCAGCAGAAGAAACATGTTACACTCTTTTTACTGATGGTTCTTGTCACATCGTAGGGATGACCCGGAAGTGGAAAGCAGCTGCATGGAGCCCCACAGGACAGGTCACAGAGGCTATTGAAGGTGGATCAAGCCAGCTTGCTGAACTCAAAGCCGTTCAACTGGCTCTGGACATTGCTGAAAGAGAGAAGTGGCCAAAGCTCTACCTCTACACTGATTCATGGATGGTAGCCAATGCTCTGTGGGGATGGCTGGAGAGGAGGAAAAAAGCCAATTGGCAGCATAGGGGAAAAACCAATTTGGGCTGCTGAAGAGTGGAAAGACATTACAACCAGGGTAGAGGAACTATCTGTGAAAGTCTGCCACGTAGATGCCCATATCCCCAAGAGTAGAGCTAATGAGGAGTACCAAAAAAACAAGCAAGTAAATCAGGCTGCAAATATAGAGGTCTCAGAGATAGATTTAGTGGGCAACACAAGGGAGAGTTGTTGCTAGCTCGATGGGCCTGTGATGCCTCAGGCCAGCAGGGTAGAGATGCCACCTGTAAGTGGGCATGAGACTGAGGGTGGATTTAACCATGGACAGTATTTCTCAGGCTATCCATGATTCTGAGAGGTGTGCTGCGGTCAAGCAAGCCAAGCAGGTGAAGCCCTTATGGTATTGTGCATGGGAGTCCAAACATAAGTATGGGGAGACCTGAGGCCCCCCTGACAATGGGACTAATTTCAAGAACAGCCCTATCAACACCTGGGCTAGGGAACATGGCATTGAGAGGGTGTACTATATTCCCTACCATGCACTAGCTGCAGGCAAAGTGGAAAGTTATAAAGGAATGTTGAAAACCACCTTGCAAGCATTGGGTGGGGGATCTTTCAAAACCTGGGAGTAGCATTTAGCAAAGGCCACCTGGTTGGTTAACAGCCGAGGCTCAACCAACCAAGCAGGCCCTGCCCAATCTGAGTCCCTGCATACAGGAGATGGAGACAAAGTCCCAGTGGTGCATGTCAGAGGTTTGTTAAGAAAAAAATGTTTGGATCAATCCTGCCTCAAGTACAGACAAACCTATTTGTCTGCCTCATGTACAGACAAACCTGCTAAGGGACCAGGTTGCACATGGTGGATAATGCAGAAAGATGGAACAACACAATGTACAGCTCAGGGAGATCAGATTATTGGGTGAGAACCATATACAGATATCACTGTTTGCAGAATGTCACTGCCATTGTCTGTATATACATATATATATTTGTATGTATAATTGCTGCGTCTCCCCCTCAAATCCACGGGAACAGATCCCCTGTGGAGCCCGGCCAGCTGGGCAGTTGGGGTGAGGTGGGCAGAGGGAAGGGCTTCTCCTTGGATCCCGGGGGGCCTGGAGAAGCCCCAACGTGAGTCCAAAGATGAGCTAGTCCCACAAGCGAAGAAAGAGGCGCTCTCCCTCGGGATCAGTTCCAAAGTTTAATGAGGGCCCGGGAAAATCCCAAGGCACATGTCACCTCGAAGGGAGGCCCAAGCAAGAGAGGATGTGTCCCCGCCCAGACCAGCCACATATAGGGGACAGGGAAAACCCGAACAGCCAAAGGGGGAAGAACATGGGAGTGGCTCTCTGGGGGCACGGCCTCAGAGTGACCACTGAGGAGGGGGTGGGGGAGCAGTCCCAGCCAGGGTCCAGTTACCTGGTGACCCTGGGAGAAGGATCTGGACAAAGGGGAAGGGTCAGCAGGTGATGGACACATCACCTGGGAGGAGACAGGGGGATGGGTTGGGGTTTGATGGACATACAGGTACTGATGGGAAAGCTGGGATGAACCAAACAGATACAAAGAGGGGATATGGAGGGACAAACCATGAGGGGATATACAGTGCAAACACAACTCTACATATAATGCATGTGTGTGTAGAGTTAGAATATATATATTATTTTTGGTAGTAAGCTGACAATATGGGGATAAGGGGTAGAATGTCCTAATGGTGACTTTACAATGCTTGTAGCTCCAGTTGTCTGTTCTGTTTATGCTGGATATTAAGTTCTGCACCTTTAAGACCCGTTCTGAGAGCAAAGGGCAGGAGAAGCAGTGCAGAGCTTGTTTGCAGAAACTGCACTTGCTCCCCTGCATTGTCTCTCAAGGACTGTGTTGTCTGCAGCATGGACAGCAGGACACAGCTCTCCTTTGCCTTTAGTCAGCTTTTTTAGCTAGCTGAGGCAGAGAAGTTCCCCAGACTGTGGTGTTTCTTTTTCTTGGAACTCATTAGCCCTGCTCTGGACTGAAAACCCAGAAAAACACTGGGAGTTCATGCCTGTAGCCCACTGAGGCCCGGGATGCAGCATTTTCCAGTGCAGGAGGAGAAGACACTGAGTGAGCCGAGCCACACTCCACGAAAAGGACTCTGAATTTGCCATCTCGGTAGAACAGTGACAGGTTTTATTGTTCCATATCATTCATTTTTTTGTATGCTTTGCTTGTTAAATAAACTTTGTTTGTTAAATAAACAGACTTTGCTTGAATACTTTGCTTGTTAAATAAACAGATTTTTTCCACTTTTCTCCAAGGAAATCTCTTCCTGAACCAGATGGGGGAGGGCCTGCTTTTATCTGCTTTCAGGAGGGACCTGTTTGGAAGTTTCCTCCCATATTTGTCCTAAACCAGGATAAGCAGAAAATATATCTAGTAACTCTTTAAGAATCCCAGTCACACAAAAGACATGCTGCATTAAAGATGGATGACAAGAGCAACACCTGCCTTTAGGTTACAAATCTTACTGAAACCTTTTGATCCAGCTCCTTCTCCTCGACCTACAATACTGGGTTTGGCTTTAGCAAAGCTGTTACGACATTCTTCTCTTGCTTTTCTTTTACAGAACCTCCCCCACTCCCACAACAGTTATCAACCACATAACCACCAAACACAAAGCCAGCCTAATTCTGTGCTCCAATATAAAAGCAGCCCCACTCTTGTGCTGGGAATGCCTCAAAGCTGCCTTAGCTATATTTGGGAAGGGCAGGGTAGTGAAAGGAAGAACAAGGCTCCACTTACACCAACACCTGCTGCTCTAAAAGCCCCACCCACAAAGCCTTAGGAACATCATAATCAAAGAATTTCATGTGGGGAGGAGCAAAAAGAAAAGAACAGACTGAGATCCTTTCCCCTGCACCTGGGGATGCATCCACTCTTCAGAACAGCATTCTTCCTCCTGCCAGCTCCCAAGCCACCTCTGCTGCAGCGTGGAAGGTTCGCACCATCCTCTTTAGAATGATGCACCGGGGAGAAGATTGTTATGGTTGAAAAAGTGGTTTTCATGTTGATCTTTAAAAACATAAAGCTAGAAACTCCTATTAAAAAAAAAAAAAAATCAGTGAAGTGTAATTTAGCCTGTAGTACAAACTCTTACAAACTTAGAAGTAAGATATAGAATTGCCTATGCTACACCTTAACTCTCTCCCTTTGCATATATATATCAGGAATATGACTTTATATCACACGGTCTTCTCACTTTCCAATTCTCAGAAGAAACCTATTCCCTTCCCTGCACAAGCACAAAGGAGTCAGAAAGAAAGTTCCATGGAAAATCGCATGTCCAGCATTTCTCTCTTGGAGTGCTTGCAGCTAGAATAATGCTTTCTTGATAAAGATTTCCAAGTTCAATTATGTTTAATGTGCACCATTTAGCTTGCATTAAAAAAACAGAAATGCTGTAAGAAATTAAGGTCTGCACAGGTCTCGAAAGGCTTTGGTGAAACACAGAGAGTCTTTTAAAATAACTGCCCAGCTTCCTCTATAGTGGAATTTCTGTGTTGTCCATGTAAACATTACACAGAGTCTTTGTACCACCCACTAAGATCTTTGTTTCAATCAACTATTTCTGCCCAAAAGCACATCCTTGTGCTTCTTCCTACACCACAGCCATCCTCCTACACCACCAAAGATGTAACAAAACAGGAATTAATCACAGGCTGGATACTTACAGGGATTGCTGCTGTTTGCATCTGTCTTTGCAGCCTTGGCAAGTTTGGTTGAGTTCTGCTGTGCTTTGCCTTGCTCCTCTCCAGTTAGCAGGGCTTTTATTTCTGAGGGGATTTTCCCTTGGTCCATGGCCATGCACCACTGCTTGTACTGAAATATGCAAACACATTAGACCTTAGCAAACCACCAGCATCACATTAGCAGACAAAACAGGGCTGTAATCTTTACCTACCCATATATTCATTTAAGGTCTGAATGTACTGAGCTTAAGCCTCTTACAAAACTGCAGAGCCCTAATGAGCTGAGCACGTGGCTGTGGCCACATACCTGGCCTCAGCAAAACCTCTTTCAGTCAATAAACTGCTACTCAGAGGCAGCACTAGACAGAACACTGTAATTATTAAACAACATGGAACACTCTGTGCAATTTCTTGCTGCTGGCATGCGAGAATACCGTTCCAGTTCATGGCCTATTAAAAACAAATATTTCACATGACTCTGGGGCTGATGGACTACTAAGAGGTCCTTTCCAATTGTGCAAGGCACAGAAACTGGAAAGAAATTCCTACTTCCCTCATCTTAAATCCTTCATTGCCAAACCCTGAGGCACACATCAAAAATCTGTGGACAGTTGGCCGACTTTTCACCTGATCCTAAACCTGCTGGCTTGTAGTGACTAGCCCTGCCCATTCAAACAAACCTAAAGCCAGGTCAATGCAGTGTCCTCAGCACTGGTGACATTTCAATGACACCACTGGGTCTGTATTTCCAGATGAAACATGTTCTTTGGTTAATCCTGCTTATTTGGCCAAGACCCCTATCTTACACATCTAGAACTACCTGCACAGACAACATGCTGCAAGAATCCACCTCCCCAGCAGAGAAGCAATGACACTCTGTGGATATATGTTTGCCCCTTGATATTTCAACACCTCTTCCTACAATCTACCTTTGTCAAAGGTTTTTCAAAACCAGATATTTCAAAGACAACAGACTCAAATGTAATGGAACTTCCTTTGCTTGATTCCAGTTCAGAACCAGCAGACATCTTGTGACATGAGTTTGTATTCTACACACCAAAGCAGGCAAGCAGCTGGATGCATCTGATGTTTTGATGATTTGTCTCCTGACCAGCCAAATGCCACTGTCAGTCACTGTGGTCCCAAGAATAAGTGTTCATGAGGACAGGTCCCAGATAATACTGGAGGTTAGGTTAAATGATAGTTCCTTACCATTTCAAGCTCTTCTCTGAGAGCACAGATGGCTCGCTCTCTGCTTGAAACCAGCTCTTCCAAGTACTGGTATCTCAGCTTCTTCCTGGCCCTGCACTCTCTTGCACTCTGACGACTTCTTTCAAGTTTTGCCTTCAAGTCTATTTTGGCTGGTTTACGACCTCGTTTGCCTGGTTTCTTTACCTTGCCTCCAACCACCTGGAAAGGAAGGGCACAGTAAAGATCCTGCTCTGCAAGGGTAATGCTGGAACCATGTGACAGTAACTACCAGGAGTCTCAAGTATAAAATCTTGCATATACATGCTGGAGCAACAGAGGAAATAAGAATGCTGAGCTCTGAAGTTTTCAGGACTCTCTCCAGTGGCTCTATTTCTCTCTCATACTGGGGACCCTAGAACCGAACACAATATTTCATGCACCTATGAGGATATCTGGTTATTGAGGAGGCATAATCAGCTTGTAGTGAAATTGCTTACATATCACCAACAGCCCCTGCTATAGCAGGTCTGGAAATACTGTATTACAGAGATTAACACTTCAATTTAGAGAAAAATGTATTTGTTTCTATCAATATAATGCAAAACTTAGTTTTGCTGCAGTCAAGAGTTTCAGCCTACTCTAAATTCAGAATTATTCACTAGTGACCTGTGCTTCCTTCATCAAGTTTTCTTTCAAAGGAATCTTGATGGATTAAAGAGGGAACTGAGTCGCACCGAGTCCTATCTCTGTTGCCTCAGCTCCAGCAGTACATCACCACTGTGGCCGTATTCGCCTTCAAAACATTACTCCACAGCCTGGCGAGTCTCCTCACACAACCTGTCAGTGCTGAACTTTCCCTGTTTCTAATGCAGATTCCCCCTTACAGAAACTCTCTAGTTCCTTGCTCTATGGAACACAGGGTTTGCTATCATTTTCCCCTCTTCTGTGTAGCTCCTTTTTTACAGGTCTGAGAGTTTCTCCTGCCACAAATAAAATATTTTTAAAAATTAAAATAAAAAAATTTTAAAAACCCACTCTGTGTTTCCCCACTCAAATATTTTATTCTTAACATGGGGGCATGGCACAAGAAAATCTTAAATATGGTCTGAAGATTAGTTCACAGGTCATTGGGCAGTATCACCCAGTAAACATTACATCAGCCACACAGCCCAGCTCCCCTCTGAAGTGAGGATTTCTCTTTATTTGCATTCTGACCACACTGTTTGACTGGAGGGGGTGTGGAGAAATATGGAGAAATACACCTAACACACATACCTGCATACAAGAATTTCACTGCTGCCTTAGTATTTCATCATCCTGCACACAGACAGACATTTTTTAATAGGCAGTGTTTAAAAATCAGAGTTCATAATTTTAAAAAAGCACTTCTACTGTGAAAAGCTACAAAGTAATTAATTTTTAGTATTCAAAGAAGTCACTTGTTCTGCAAACTCATCAAGCTGCAATAAAAACAATAACATAGTGAATTGATGTGCCAGAATGAAGAGGGGAAAAAAAGGATTATACAATTAACCCTATTATTTTTTTGGAAAGTGAGTCAACAATCACATGCTAACATAATCCTACCTTCTCTGTATTGTCCCTCCTGATTTATTCAGCAGTAGATGCCTACCATGAGCAAACGAAAGAACAGGAAGTACTTAATGGACATCTAAGATAATAAAACAAACACAATACATTCAGAAGAGCAAAGGAAAAAAATGATGCTATTTTACAGTTGAACTGCTGAATACCGTAAGTAATTCTTTACTTCATCAAGGTGCTCCCCTTAAGATTTTCTAGTTCAGAAAATCTAATGTAGTTCAAAGTAAGATAAAACTAACCAGATGTGGCCAAGGCAGGGGGCAGGAGCTCTAAGGAAGGGGAAGTGACTGTCCCCTTTCAGGCATGACAAGGTCTTTTCTCTCATAGAAACATTCTCCTGGCTATGGATGGTGTGATCCACATGCCCAATTCAGCAGAAGGTAGAACTACACAAAATCTTCCCAGGTGGGGCTATAGGCACTCACAATTTGCTCTCTATTTGCACTTGGAAGATTGATGGACATTACATTATACACACTACTGACAAAGTACTTCAGTTCTCAAAGACTTCTAGGACCTAAGGCTTTTCTGTGCTCATGCAAGGTAGTTCAAAGTAAATCTTTGAATTCAAGAGCTGGATAAGGTCTTGTAGAGACATAAACTGCAGCTCTCTTAAAAAGCCCTGGCCACTCTGGGTTCTGACCCTCTAGAACTAGAGTGAGCTGCCACTCAAGGCTGGGGCCCCAGCACATGCCACACTGCCTTGTGAACAAAAAAGGACCTTGAGTACTAATCCTGCACAGGAGCATTGACAGCCATGCCCTCTCCCCAAAGCCCCAGGCAGGTGAAGGGTTCCCACTGCACCATTTCTCACAATCAGCAAATTAAAGACTGCTTAGCACATGGCAAATGCATCCTGGATCCACCATTATCCATAAACAGCTTTCCATTTGGTCACTCCAGAGAGCTTTCTACAGATAGGTATGCCAACTGCTCTCCCTACAAGATATTTTACCACTACAGCAGCCCTGCATACAAATTCCCTTAGGGCAGGAAAAAGGCTTGTACCTCTTCAATCATTCAACCAGGGTTACCTGCCAACACTCTTACCACCAGGACTATGGAGATAATGAAAAGCTTCCTTCCCTTTTGACTCTAAGCACTAACACCCTAATAATCTGCCTTCACACCATCCTCAAAGACTCAAACTGTCTTCATGGCTCCTGGAGTTCACCACACAATTACACATTACCCTGCAAAGACAGCAGTGGTAAGCAATTTAATCAAATCCTGCATCCTCATCAGTTTTTCCTCACCAATATTTAGAAGCTCCTGCTGTAACCTTAAGCAACCCAGCTGGGAAGAAAAGGCCTGAGAAATCCTTTGCCCCCATACAGCATTACCCTATCTCCCTGGCTTCTAGTCCTGTTTGCCTGCTCAGTTGCTATGTTGATGTGACAGAAAGAAGACAAAGCAGAAGTGATAGTTGATGTTGAACATGGCAACAGCCCAAGCAAACATTTTGTGTCCCTTTGTATTCCTCTGCAGTTTATAAAGGGATGTGATCTATTAGCATTCAGCAGTTGAGATTTGGGTTTTTTTTCAGGGAGTCATATGGAATCAAGACTCAGAACAATATTAATCATAAAAATTTTCAGAGAAATATTAATAAAGGCATGCATTAGTTAGAGATCTGACCAAGCTCCTATTTCAGTTCACTCAGACTTCAGAAAACAGAAAAACGTAACTCTTTTCTCAAGTGTATGGTGTGATTCTTGGGGTGTCCTGCACAGGGCCGGAGTTGGATGTGATGATCCCAACAGGTCCCTTCCAACTCAGCCTATTCTGTGATTCCACAATTTCCTTTTAATACCCTACTTAGATCATACTTCATTTTTGCCTCCCATCAGTGGTCAGGCACAAAGTTATTTGACCTGGAATTGGATATAGCTGCAATTACTTGACCTGATAAAGAAAATTCCTCAGACTTCTGGATTTTTTTATTAGAAGCGTGCAGCAGATCTCTCAAAATTCCTTGCCAGAATGCACAGTAGAGAGGTCTTCTACAGGAAGGAGATGCACACATAATACAGCTACACTGTATCAGCTCCTCACTCACAGCTCTCAGATAGAAGATTGGGGTAGAGTTGGCTTCATCATGACATCTGCAAGTTTGAATCAATTTAGCAGATTAAAGCAACAGTACTCAGGCACTGCTCAGCACTGACCAGCAAAAACGATCACATTGACCAGGTCAGTATCTCCCAGAAGCTCTGAGTTCATTTACCAATAAACAAGCAGCTCTACCAACCAGTACTTGAGATCCATCTTACACAGACTGCATTGCATCAGCAGCTGAAGGTATAGGTCTGCAGAACTTAATGCAAAATGGAACTGGCGATCATCTACAGAAATTATATAAAACTATAAAAATTGTTAGTAAGCAAAAAAACCTAAGTGCTATGTTACAGTAGAGGGGTAAGAATCTATTCCCGCTAGCAAATATTTTTACAAAATCAGAAAGCAAATGCAGCCAATCACAAGTCTCCTAATAAAGATGAACTTTTCTGATCTTCCAATTGAAAGCATACCACTCACAGTACCAGTACAAAACCCAGCTAGAGAGCATGCTCGTTATTCCTCTATTTCATGACATTTTATATGCTCAATACAATTCTTTTACATTCACTGGCAGACAAAATGCATCTGATAATGATCCAAAAACGTAAGATACTATTTAGTGAGCAAACACAATCTAAGTCTTAAGCTGATTATGTCAACAGAAATTAATCCTAAAATTCTCACCCATACAAAGTGCTTCATATCTTAAGAATGCCATATTCAGCACAGAAGCATAAAGAATGTCTGTCTTTGCTGCAACGTCTGTTTTAAAAAAGCATGAGCTAGGCATAAATATCAAGTTTTCATCAAGTGTTATGCAGGCAAACAGATGGGTAAGTGCTGAAGTTCAGGGCAGCAGTCACTCAGATGCCACCTTGCCACTCCACAGGTGACAGCCCTGCTCTTCCCCAAGGAAGGACTTACGGCCTCACACAGGAATTATGTCCCCCACTGTGCCCTGCACATTCTCTCAGTTCACTCTAACAGAAACCAGGCACTTTTTAAAACTTGTCTCTCTTAGAATTCCTAACTTTGTTAGGCTCAGGGATGGTCAGCTAACTACCATGTGTATCCTCCCAGCCCACTTTAACAATGAAATAAAACTGTTCTAGCTGGTTTAGATGCTTTAATCTCCTCCATTTTAATCACTCCTTGCAAATATGAGCAGATGTGTCATCTGAGCAATGCTGAGCAGGAGCTTCTTAAAACATTTAATGATTTGAAATTGCTCCTATCAAACTATAACCAAAGCTGTTAAGGTTTTTTATTTCCAAGCAAGCAGTAATGAGAATGCTTTATGTTTGGACATTGTAATAAATGGGTAGTAGGATGTTAGTTCTCGCAAATGTTGAATGTATAAGGATGAAAGAAGGATGAAAGACATTTTGCTAAGATCTGGTTTTATATAGATATTTATATATATTATATATAAAGTTTTGTAATGTTGAAAGTTCATCTCCAACCATTGGCAAGGCTGAAGCACGAAGGACTACACACTCCAGGAGGCATGACAAAGGAGGAGCTCGGTCACAGGAGTGACATATGCACATGTGTGAGGAGGGCTGGCTTACCAACAGCATATGTAGGGTTGTTAGGGGTGTGGCTGTACTGTGGTGTCTCCACAGCAGCTCTGTCCCTGCTGTGGCATTCAGAGCACTACTCAGAGCTGACTCCAGGACTGCCTGGGAGATCTCTCTCTCCCTGATCCCCATCAGCCCCACCAGTGAGGGTCAGAGGCTACAAGACAGCTCATGGCCAAAGACCCCCCAAGCTCTGTATTTCAAACACAAGATTTCACACGTGGCTTGCTCCCACACACCCTCCAAGGGACATCTGCTTCCCCATAATTATGACTCAGGACCACATAGGACTGAGTATTTGATGTCTCACAGCCAGGCTGTGTGGAAAGCAACCCAGCTCCTTGGGTGTAGCCCTTTGTTGAGAGCCCTCCCCTGCTGGAACACCATGTGTTCCCTTGAAAAGGAAAGCTGAATGAACACCAGAGCAAGAAATCAACAATTGCTGGATCCACAAACATATTAATATCTTTTCTGTGCAAGACAGTAATATTAGTAATAAAAGACAGCAACCCCAACTTTTTTTGGTGGTGGTCTGGTTTTTGTTTGCTTGTTTTTAACTTCACTGGAATAACAGAAGTGACATTACAAACTTTTGTTTCTCATTTCTAGCCGTAAACTGAAAAGTTAATTACCGAAATAAGTCTTGTCAGTGTCCCCTATAGAAATTCTGTAATTAATTATAAAAGACCGCAGTTAGCTGTATAAAATGTATTTTAATGTTGATTAACAAGTTATCAACTTCTCACCCTAGTCCCTATGCTCTCCTTCCCAACACATATAACAAATACATTATACATTATATGTAGTCTTGTAAACTAACCAAGAAATTTCACCTCTAAAGGCTGAAACCACCCTAACAGAGCTTCTCTTTTTTCCTCTGTCCAAATACTTCAGAGATGCACAACTGATCTTTTAACATGAATTAACAGCAAGTAACAGCTACATCACTAAATTCTTTCCCTTCCACACCCAATAGCTCAAATCACAGTGAGAAGTGAGGCTAGTACCTGAACAAACCCTAAGTTAAAAGCAGTTCTATAGAAGAAAAGGCCATATTTTGGGGTTCTTTGTTTTTTGGGTTTTTTTTGTTTGTCTGTTTGTTTGTGGTTTTGTTTGGGTTTCTTTGTCTGTTGGGGGAGTTCAGGGGTTTTTTATTTGTTTTTTTTTGGGGGGGGTTATTTTGGATTTTTGTTTTCTGTGTGTGAATAATTTAAGAACATCATTTTGAAATTAAATATGAAATTTTTCTAGATCTGATGTTAAAATATTCTACCTCTCCCTTTATTTCTTGCTATTTCCTTCCAATTTTGAGGAATATGTTGACAAGAACCACTCTTCTAATGCCCTCTTAAACCAGATAAGGCTAAATTAAAGTGCACTATGAATTAGGGAAAACTTTTCAGCCTGCAAGCTCAGTTCTAAACTCTCTGTGTCACATAGATGAAAGCAAACACTGAATTTGGCTGCAGGCCAAATTATAGAATGGTTATACAATGGTCACTACACTATCAACACAATTTAGTTGATTGAGTTTTTGCAGGGAAAATCCTTTCACAGGCTAACCCCTTCAGCAAGGAGGAAAGCATGACTCAGTGGAATTTTTAGGAGATTTCGAGGACATGCTGACTCCAGTGTAACCACACTGGCCATAAAATGAGGTATAAATAGTGCTTGCCTTGTGCTGACACAGCAACCTGCAATGGGAAGAGCCCTCCTAAGGGAAATGACATCCCTTGAACAGGGTCACCAAACCCTCAAGGTGACCTGCAGCCTCACAAATTATAAAAACTGTACTTGGGAGTGAAGATAGCAAGAAGAGTGAATATTCCACTCTGTTGTTTTTTCCTAGTCAACTCGACATCAATTTAAAAAGGAAAAAAAAAGACCAAAGATTTGACTTACTGACTGGGTAAATATATTTATTTTATTTAGTAAATATGTCAAAAAATCTTTCAGGAAAAAAAAAAAAAAGGTATACTATCACAACTCCACATGACACAATGGTAGACCAAAAATTATTTTTAAATGAAAATCTGGCAGTTGGGTAGTACAAAGAGCCTAAGTCAGACAGAGAAAAACACAAAAAGAAATAACAATAAGATACTGCTCATGAACTATGTATGCCTCCAGAACTAAATCTTCTGGATCTTCTAAACTACTGCCTCAATTACACAAACTTTCATGCAGTTCCCAAAGTTGTGAGACATCAGTGATGCAGATTTCCCCCAACCTCCTTCACAGCTGTCAGACAAGGCCTTAATAAAATCAAATAGTATACATGTTAAAATAGCAGATCACCATAAACCTTTCACAGACTGCCAAATTACTGCTCGCTTCTAAATGTCTTTATTCTGTAAGAAATTGTGTCAAGCATTTTCCCCCCTTTTGAATTGAAGGAGATCTTCGTAGGCTGCATAATTTTGTGTTAGTAAAACCAGTGGTATCTGCAGCAGGACCCCCAGGATGACCCATACCCAGCACTCCAGGGAGCTGAAGAACCCAAGCTCAGGTGAGGTCTGGGCTGCACAGCGCTGCGGTGAGCAGCCACGGCCGCTGCTTTCGGGGCACCGGCTATGAGCAGCAGGAAGGTGCTCGTTCCTGGGGCACCTTCCCATGTTCAGCTCTGCTCCATACCTTCAGCGATGCCTCTGTGCTGCTCTCATGAGATCCTTCCAAAGCTGGAAAAATCCAAGTCCAGCACCCAGTTCAGGGCTGCAGCCCACGCTGCTGCCCTCGTACCTCACCATTTGTGCACAGCTGCTATTTATCTAATCAATCCAGGCTGTTGTTGGGAGCATGAGCTACTGCATCACAACACTGGTGGTATCCAGCATTTGGCCCATGCCTGGAGGTTTAAGGAAACGCCAGAAGCAGCACCGAAGCGCTGCAAACAAGAACTAAAGGGGCAAACCTTCTTTCCTGGCAGCTACAGCAAGCAGAGCCCTTCAAAAGCAGATTTCAGAAGGCTCCCTGCACCAATCGCCTTACCGGCTGCCCTCGGCTCCAGCTCCCGGGCGGGCCCTGCAGGCCCTTACCTTGCTGTCATCCATGTGTGCCGCCAGCCCCGATCGCCTCCCGCAGCCCCTGCACGAGGAGCAAGCGGAGCTGCCCGCCCGCCGCCCCGGCAGACACCGGCACTCACGGAGCCTCAAGGCCGCCCGCGGCCGCCGCCGCTGCCTGCCGCCATGTTTGTTTACGGCCGAGAGGAGCAGAGCGCCGGCAGAGCGGTGCACACTGGGAAGTATAGTCTTGTTCGGCCCCGTCGCTATTGGCCGCCGCCCTGACGGGGACGGAAAATACTACAACTCCCAGCAGGCGCAGCAGACGAGCGGCGCGGCGATTGATCCTCGCCTCGCCGACCGAGCGAACTACATTTCCCAGAACGCTCCGGTCGCTCCCCCGCTTCACAGCGACAACTGAATTTGTTGTTTTGTTGGTGTTTTTTGCGTTTGTTTATTTGTTTTTTCTAATGCTCGCACTGTTCCACGGCTGTTCTGCTGCAATCGCAATGGTTCCGGAAAGATGACCAAGGGATGGTGGGGCCAGGGCTGCCGGCTTCGACCCTAGCACAGGCTGTCTCGAGCTAGATGAAAAGAAAACCCAAACCAATGAAACAACAAATTTAAATTTTCTCCTGTTTTTTGCTTTGCTTTGCCCTAAGAATTCCTGAAGACTGTGCCGAATTTTCCAGGCCACCTGGACACTACTGAGCTCCTCCAAGCCGGGAGCAGCATTCCTTGAAGTCCTTTGAGGATACCCAGTTTCCTCATTTTCCTGTGGACACACATGGCACAGGTCTAATGTTGAGTGCTTGATGTAAAGCCAGACCATCATCCTGTGTCTTTGCCTCGAAATGAGGCCTGTTCTTGCTTGAAAGACACAGGTACCCCAGTAAAAAATTCTCCTAAACATGACTCATGTTTCAAGCTAGCGGTGAAACCTGATGCTTGACGTGTTTCATGTTGCTGCATGTTTCTTCTTATTCATGCAACTCTCTTCGCAGGAGTTTCCCATGATTTAATCTCTTTTACATGCAATTGTTCGGGCTGAAGGGTTTGTCATGGGATTTTCCCCCTGAATCAGAGACCTTCCTCTTGGAGGGATATGCTTGCTAGATGGCAGGGACAAAGCACTTTCTGAAGCTTTTTTTTTCCCCTCTATAAGCTTATATGCTTCTCAGTTGTCAAAGACAAGGCAGTTTGCATACTGCTTCCTATTTGCTTGTCCAAAAGCAATTAATCAGTTCTGGCAACTCTCTGTTGAAATAATAGCAGTAAAAAATCAAGGATGATCAATGTGTCAAACAAGAGGCATCAGCTAATAAAGTGGAAGGAATAGCTTGCTATGAGCTTGACTCCTGTGGTCCCATAGTTACCTTCAAATTCTTCCAGAAGGTGGTGAGGCGTCTCCTACTGCCTTTGGCACTATCCTCAGGCCATAAAGCTGGCTTTAAAAGCCAGCTGGGGGTTTCCCCGGTAAAGGGAAATATGGAGTGGCAAAGAGCCAACATAGCTCACTTAGGCAACTCTCTGTTGCAACATGAGTGGATGAAGAAGATTAGAAAAAGGCCTGGTGCTGATTCAGAAAGACCAGAATCCTTTTAAGTAGCAAATTGAAGTTCTAGCTTCATCTTTCATCTAGATTGCCCCACACTACCCATCCTGCTTTATATCACATAAGAAGAGCTCCCAGCTTCTGACCAGAATAAAGCACAACTTCCCTGCTTCAGCACTTAAGAGCTTCTGTATATTAGCAGGGAACAACTCAAACTATGCATTGCAGTCTGCTTTTCCACTTTGGCTCTGCTGTCCTCCTAGGTGAATTCGGACATGCAAGTTGAGTGGGAGTCTGTCAGAAAGAACAGTTGAGAATGGAACTGGGTATTATATATATATATATATATATATATATATATATATATACACACACACATACAGAGAGAGGATAAGATTATGACATTTTAAACTGATTTTAACTGTTTAAACATTTAAACCATTGCGATATACACCAAAGAAATCCTACCTTGTATTACATTCAGTGTCACAAATTGTTTTGTGCAGTAACTATTGGCAGGTTCCTGATGAAATTAGTAATATTTGTTAAAAGAAGGGTTATGCTTCTGAGATCCAGAGGGACTTTGAGGAAGATAAATAAAGTTAGTTCAGCAATGAAGCAATAGCTTAAAAATCATTGCTTATGTCAGTGTGACTAAAAAAAGAGATATAACTCACAGGGTAATTTTGCACCATGTGCTCGTATTTCAACACATCCCAACAGGGCATTTATTCTCCCTAGATCTGTAAATGTGTTAATTCAGGCAATTCAAAATCTGTTCCTCTGAAATCCTGCCTGAAATAAAAATAAATCTTGCAATTTTTTGGTATCAAGCATTTGGCTGAAATTACTCCACTGTACATTCGTGGAGTCTTTAGAGATTCAGGGCCTTTGAGATTAATTCATTTGTGGATGTGCAGGCGAAGATAAAGCTAAGATATTCTATTGTTTGTTTTCCAAATGTACTGAGATGTTAATTGCTTTAATAGAGATGCTAACTCATTTGCCACAGAGCAAAGATGGTGCAAGAACAGCCTGTCTTTCACTCCCTTGGGGTTTGGGGTTTTTTTGTGGAACTGATAGAGAAATTGCACTTTTCTGCATCCTTTATTATGATACCCAATGTTTCTGGAAATAGAATAAATTCTGTCTTTCAATTTGTAGACTCTGTTCACACTGAGAGAACACCTTTAACTTGTCATTTAAACCCACCCCTTAAAGCATTTGTCACCTAGGAGTGATCCAAGAAAAGTTTGTTTACCTAATATCTCACTGTTGTTTATATAACTAGGATAAAAGTATACCAGTTTGTTGTTGGTTTGTTGGTATTTTTTCTTACATTAGAGAAATCAGCTATATATTCTAAAGACCTGGAAGACCTGGTAAATACATGAACAGCACATGCTCACAAGTACAGTGATTGATGACCTCATCGGTATGGTTAAAAGAAATTCTGTTTAAAACAAATGTTCTTTGAAAGTTGGTTTTTAAAACCTAATCAGTGTTTGAACAAAGCACAGCACATTGGAAGCCTGATCTGCAACTACGTCCTATACACTGTATAATTAAAAGTTGATAAGGGGGTTACTCTCGTATTTCCAAAATTCTACTTTGTGGCAAGATGAGCACCTTCTGTAGTTGCAAATATGTGAAGTTACATCTACAAGGGGAGTTCTTCATGCTTAGCTATTGCAAATGTACTTCTCAAATAAAATGGACTTGAAATAAGATAATTTGGAATAATCAGCTCTTGTCCTGTGCATACACACAGGCAGAAAAGTTACTGCTTTATCTAGCCAGGCTAACTTTTGCACATAAGCACAATCTTGAGACAGTGCTCATGACACGTTTATATTGCTGAAGAGTATCTGTAATTTAAAATATTGCATGAAAATGTTTATACTGCAGTTGGAAAGGAGCTACTTCATATTTTCTAGCTTGTGGAAAGGAGAAAAAGTTAGATGATCCTACGCTTCACACATATGACTGGTAGTTCCAAATATGATCAGAGGGGAAAACTAGAGATGGTTCAAAAAGTCATTTGATTAACATGGATTTCATACACAATTTAAACTAAATATAAGAAAGTGAGAGCCATGGGTCAAGACAAACAAATCACTGATTAAGAAGATGACAAAGAGTGGGTGGAATTTCAGTGAGGTATGCAAGTGAGTAAAATTTAACCTTGTTCTGAAACAACAAACAAACAGAACAGCATAATATGCCACGTTCAGGAATGTGAGAGCCATGTTGTATCTGGCACTTGAACAACAGTGAATTATTGCTGCTGATATGGTAATTGCAGAGGTACAGAAAAAGTGGGTGGATCATGTGAAATTCATTAAATACTTGAGGTGAACTTACAGCAGGATTAGTCTTTTAATTATGTACATTGATTTCTATGCACAACTGGTTTACTAAAAAGGCATATTGTTTATTCTCAAGATGTTTAAAATCCACTTCAGCTCAGTGTCTCTTTTTTTTTTTTTTTTTGGTTCTTAAAATATTTTGCAACTTGCTACTCCCCTTTGGCCTACGCAAACAAATATGTCTGCATATGCATGCCTACTAGAACCAGTCAAAACTGCTATCAGTAGCTGGCTTTTCTGGGAACAGCATTTATGGTTGTTTTCCAGAAGCCAGAAAATAATTTTAAGCACTTTTGTCTAGCACCAGATTCTGTGGCATGGGCTGTGCTCACATTCAAAACATTTACTAATCTAAGTCTGATACTGTTTTCTTGTCCAAGGGCATAAACAAGGTTTCTGCACAGCCTGAGGAAAAACTGAAGGACTTGTATGGCAAGCTAGATCTCTGCACTGTATCTGGGTCAGAGAACTTCCATTATGACCTTGACTACTGTTAGAAATGCCCTTATATGAAGGGTTGGGGCATCACATACAGCACTTTGCTCTGGTCTGCACTGCTTACTCCATCTTAACTCGGCATCATACCTGCTAACTTCTGGCTTGTAACTGTGTTTGAGTGTATTGGAATTTCTGTGTTGCTGTAGCTGCCCATGAACCTTGTATTTGTGTTTAATGAGGTTTGTATTTAACGAGACTGCTCACATGAACAGGAGTTACAGGATCAAATCTGCACCGTAAAAAGTGTTGCATTAATTTGTAGTAAGTGTAAATGAAGGATACACAGCTGGATAACACACACTAATTCACAGGGAATTTCACTGCAATAGGGAAAATACGCAGCAGGTACCTGGGAGGTGACAGGCTGCCTGCCTCACCCATCCATACCCATGCAAGGGAAATAAAAGTGTGTCATTTCAGAAATACACTGAAAAAAAGCACTGTTACCCCTTGTCAGCTCCCTTCTTCATGGCTCCCAAAATGTTCCTGACATATTCCAGCGTTCCCACCAATATCCCCTGAAAAAAAAATCCACCAACTTTTCCCTTCCTTTGGAGAGAGCTGGGGACCCCAGGCGCTGATCATCGCCTGAACAACCCAAGATGGGTATCATGGAAATCCTCGGGCAGATACATGTGAATGCAGAGTTCCCATAAATTTCATCAAGGGATTCACCAACTCCTGACACTGAATTGTTCTTCTTCATCACCAAAAAACAAAATCTTATTAACCTATGGACTTTGAATGGAAGAAAAGACTGACTGCCGAAATCTTGG